TTTGTAAATGATCCAAAATCCATTGTTTTATTAGATTGTGCAATGCTAAGGTATGCTTATGCTGAGCTTGAGGAGTCCCGAGGGGCAATTCAGGTATTTTAAAAATGGAATGTTTCCTGATAGCTTGTGTATTCCTTTGTTCATATCCATGTATCTAACTTCATTGACTTTCATTGACTTTTAGGCTGCAAAAAAAGTATACGAAAGCCTTTTAGGAGATGATGCCAATGCAACTGCATTATCACATATACAAGTATGATCATATATTTTAAGAAAGTAAATTGATTTTGTTTACTTATTATTTTTTTTATGGATTATAAGTATGTATAATTATATGTTTCCATGCAGTTTATTAGATTCTTGAGAAGAACAGAAGGTGTTGAAGCAGCTCGCAAGCATTTTATGGATGCAAGAAAATCTCCAAATTGTACTTACCATGTTTATGTTGCTTATGCAACAATGGCATTTTGTATGGACAAGGACGCAAAGGTAATTTTGTTTAAAGCTAGTGTGTTTCTAGGTTTATCTCAATTGTGTTGATAAGTTTATCTTGCTCTTAATTTACAGATTGCACATAATGTGTTTGAAGCAGGGTTGAAAAGATACATGCATGAGCCTGGATACATTCTTGAGTAAGTATGCAATAGTTATAAATCTTTATGCCATTTGTGTAATATTTATAAATCTTCTTACTTTTTTTTTTTTTTTTCCATATTTGTAGATATGCAGATTTTTTGTCTCGCTTAAATGATGATAGAAACATTAGGGCTTTATTTGAACGTGCATTGAGTTCGCTTCCACCTGAAGAGTCTATCGAGGTATATATATATATTAAATACTATAAAATAGAATTGTTTAATTATATTTTTTTTCAATTCCTAGTTCTTTATTATAGTTTCTAGCTACATGTATAAAATTTAATTGATTTTGTTCTAGGTTTGGAAGAGGTTTTCTCAGTTTGAGCAGACATATGGAGATCTCGTTAGCATGTTGAAGGTAATATAGTTTTATAATATTCATACAAAATGAAAATGTGGGTCCCAGTGTAAAATTTATTTTATTTTATTGGTTTTATAAAAAGGTGGAGCAAAGAAGGAAAGAAGCTCTTGCTAGAACAGGTGAAAATGGAGCATCATTAGCTTTAGAGAATTCTTTACAAGATGTTGTATCAAGATACAGTTTTATGGATTTATGGCCTTGCTCTTCAAAAGAACTCGATCATTTATCTCGCCAAGATGTACGATTTTTCTCTCTCTCTTTTTTTTAATCTTTATATAATTGTTAGATATAAAGTTTATAAATATGTGAGAGTTTTCGATTCTTTTCAGTGGCTTTCAAGTAATGGAAACAAGAAAGTTGAGAAATCAAGTCTTGTTAATGCAGATAAAAATCCAGGAGGACAAATTTTATCGAATGTATCTTCTAAAGTTATTTATCCAGATACTTCAAGAATGGTGGTATATGATCCTACTAAACAAAAGCCTGGTATGCAACTAACTCTATGAATAAAAAATTTAAAAATACAAAAATATTTTACATTTTTAACAAGGGACAATCAAAATCTATATTAAGGAAAAAAGTTATAAAGTAGGGTGTTATTTATTATCTTTATAATCTTCCCACAGGTGTAAGTATAAGCACTCCTGTTCTTCCTTCTATATCTACCACATTGCTTAGTTCTAGTGTGTTAGCCACTGGAGGGGTGCCAAGTGTCCCTCTTGTCATCCCAAAACCCCTCCCCCCTGCCTTGTCAGCATTTATAGCAAGTTTGCCTCCTGTTGTCGAGGGTAAAATCCAAAACTAATGTTACTTCTTATTCATCCTTTTTTTAAGGATTTATAATTTAGAATAAGTTACGTTTTTGGTCCCCACAAATGTTCTCTTGCAATTTTGGTCCTTGTTCCAAGGAATATGACTATTTTTGGCTTCTGATTATAGCCATTAACGTTACAAAAAACTTGAATAAGGACCAAAATTGCAAGAATCAATTATATCCAGGGACCAAAAGTGTAATTTATTCTATAATTTATTAAAATTGCTTATATTGGTTTTGACTTTAGGTCCGGTTCCTGATGTTGACTATGTTCTATCAATATGTTTACAAAGCAATCTACCAATTATGGAACAGCCTGCCTCCATTGATGTCAACAAATTTAAACCAAGAGACAGACAACATGGAAAGAGAAAAGATGCTGACAGTATATAGCTTCTTCCTTTTTTTTATCATTTTCGGTCCTTGAATATTTCTGATTTTTTCAACTTTGATCCCAAAAAGTTTTCTCTTGCAAATTTTGGTCCTCATTTGTTGTTTTTGTAACGTTATGGGACAAAATTGCAAAAATCAGCTATACCGAGGGACCAAATTTGTAATTTGTTATTATTTTTTTTTTCTTTAATGTGTGTAGGACAAGACGAGGATGACAGTAATACGTTGGTTCAAAGTCAAGTACAAGCGCCTAAAGATGCATTTAAGATAAGACAAATGAGAAAATCACGAGTTGGTGGGGCCCAAAGTGGAAGCGCTGTGTCATATGCTACTGGTAGTGTACAAACTGGATCGGCTTCGTATGGTAGTGGATTTTCAGGGGAACATTCTGGAAGCTTTGGTTGATGAAATTAAACTATAATAATAATAATAATGCTGTAATTGAATAGATTTTTTTTATATATATAAATGGGAGTTTACCATTTTTATTTTTACGTTGTATATGGTTGTAGGTAAGAGAGTAAGAGAGTGTGAGTCAAGTTGTAACATATAATATGATCCTGCTTGCTTGTTACTATTAAGAAAAGAAAGAAAGCTTCTTCTAATTCAAAAATCTCTTACTCAGCATTTTTTTTTTGTCTTATTATTGATCGATACTTTACTTCTTGCTTCTCATTGTGTGAGTAATTCTTCTAGGTTTTTTAAGCTGAAGTATTATTTGGTGGAAATTGCATCCATGTTCAACTTATTTCAACTCGATTTTCATGAACTTTAGCCTTTTGACTTGAATCAAAATTCATCATATGGTTGTCAAAATCGCAATCCTGATCGTAGGATCGATCCTACGATCCTAGGTATGAAAAACAATCCGGATCGTAAATGGATTGTATTTGGGGTAGGATTGTAAGATCATAGGTAGAATCATAGGATCGAGATCCGATCCGATCCTACATTCCCTTGATTATTTATTTGTTTATTTTTTTGCAAATGAAAATTATTTTTACCACCTAATAGCTTTTACCATTTACTAATTTACCGTTAATCATTTTTTGTTGTGGCTTATGACTAATATTTTGAAGTTTTTATAACTTTTGAACGAAAAATTAAATGTTTGAAATATTTTTCATGTTTAAAAATTATAAATTAAAATTATGTTTTATTTTGTGGGATCTTAGGATCCCGATTCCGATCTTCCAAACCAAAAAACGATCCAACGTAGGATCTCGATCCTGACAACCTTGCTACTATCCAAATCAGGCTGGTTCACCCAAATCTTCGATGTAAGAAATTATAACTTTTTCTTGAATCGAATCAAATTGTGACTCCCATAATCACATGTACATCCAAAGCCACATTTACAACATCATCAAAGCATCCATTCCAATCCATGAATAGAGTACGAGATTAATGACGTATATTAAACTATCATATAGATCACATGTTTCGTAAAGGTGATTATACACAATTATGTTATTAATGGTCATATATTCTTCATAATTTCATAGAAAAGTAACTTTGCATAAAACAATTAAAACTTTTTGCAAAATCATTTTCTATTTGGGTGTTATTATGTATACCCATCCCTCACTAAAATAAAAAAAACAAACATGACCACTCACACACTCACGCAGGGTACAACAAGCAATTGGGCCTTAAACAATCAATTTAGATTTAAACATTAAGTTGATTTGAATGTACAAACTTTAATCTCGATGCAGTCTAAAAAAAAGGGATCATTTCATGTTGTGAAAAAACTGGTACGACTCTCTTTTGTATTAAGTTTTCAAATATATACTTAAAGGCAAACCGTTTATGACTTATGGAATAAGTCATCGTTCGTAAGTGAATAATCTTATGATCATATTAAATTCAAATGCATAACATGTAAGAAAACTATAGGGTTTATGGTAGAGATCTGGATATCAACTTGGATCGTGAGAACACTTTTCAAACTGATATTTCTACCTTATGCCTAGATTTCAAGAAATTCAGCATAAGATAATCCAAGTGGACACTTACGATTCTAGGCATAGAAATGAGAAATCGTAAATCAATTTTCTAGAAAGATTTTGTAAGAGTCTGATGAAAATGAGAGCTAAAGTTGGTCACCCTCTTCTGAGATTGAAGAACCATTTATATATTAAACGAGATTAGGGTTTTATTAGGGTTAAACCGTCATTAGTTGCTTTGGAAGCAAGTCAGGATAATCCGGATTTAATGAAGATTTAAGGTTACCAAAACTAAGGAGTTTCGTTAGTTTTACCATAATCACCCTCAAGAAATTTAATTTTCCACTATGTTCCCATATGTAAATTTCGGTGAGGTTTTGGGGCGCTGCCCCTCGACCCCGTCCGCTGACTTGGCAGTGGGACCCCAGCCAGAGGCTCTGCCCCTTGGACCCCGCTAGGGGTGCTGCCCCTTTGGAAACCTCGGACCCAGGGGTGCTGCCCCCCGACCCCCGACTAATCATCGAACCGGTTTCTAATTCGATCTATACATGTGTGCACTCCATACCAACCCGTACATATATTAGAGTACAAATTAAGAAGTCACTTAGCTCACATGTTAGTTCTAGTTATATAAAATGACATGGTAACACTAAAATCACCAACATAACAACGTGTAAACATATATGTAAGGAATAATATCCTATATTTTTATTTAAATTTTGTATGCATCGAATAGTTTTACCATATTATCGTTGTTAGAATACAACGCATATATAGGATAGAAGTTTGATAATTAGTTTATATATAATGATGCTCTAAATGCTTGTAGTTGCACACTTGCACCCTTAAGCTTTGTATTCAGCCCACAGTTGATCAACCGTCTTCCCTAGCAAGTCCACGAAATAACCATCGTTATAGCCATCCCTCATCTTCTTATTAAGTTCAGCCACAAACCCATCTCTAAGACCATTACAATACTCTAGGAACCGAGCTGTCACATCGTAGCCCTGGTCCCATCGGTCACCTTGTCCTGGCTGAACCCAGTGGCTTGGTATATACCCAGCCTTCAGCCTCACGTAGTCCGCAATTCCCTCTATCAATTCTGCCTTAGCTTGACCATTTCCAAACCATTGCCATACGTGTGCCATCTCGTGATAAAGAACTCCATCAAACCCAGTCTTGTCATCACCGGAAATCCCCTCGATGAAATTTGCGCTGACATGGATCTCATTGCCATTAGTGTACCATGTCGTCGATGAACATGCTTACAAGAGCAACATTCTTTCTGTCAGCATCTGTGTTTTGTTGGAATATGCTCCATGTGAAGCTTGTGGCGGAGCTAAGAGTTTTAGTGGTGTATTCTGCCCCAATTTCGTTATTGAACTTAACACCGCCGGGGGTGGCTGCTGCTTTGTTGGTGATGGTGTACTCGACGGCTGCGGACAGTTGCAGGGCTGCTAAGATTGCAAGGAATGAGAGGAAGAAGGAGATCTTGTTAGCCATTTGATTTTGTGGAAATATAGGTTTAGATTGTACACTTGTATGTAGGTTTATATAGAGGTGGAAGGTGGTGAATTTTGGGGCTTATGGTCATATGGTGGGACCCTGACTCAGTCTACACGTTAACAATTAGAAACTTAACTGTGACTTGCGAGAGACTTTATTCATCATGATTTTTAAATTTATTTGCACTTTTCTCTATTTCGTAATTGATACGCTCTGAATATTAAGAAACGTTTATTCATCATGATTTTTAAATTTATTTGTACAAACTGAAATTTTGTTACAAATCTGAAGATTAATGTATATATATATATATATAGGATAATATTATATTAGGTTATCAATTTTATTTAGCAGAATTTTTACTGATTTTATATTTATATTTGTTATCCCAAATTCTACCTATTTATATGAAAAGTAGTATTTGACTCACCTCGTGTATTGCCGTGAGAAACTCCTTGGGCGATTAACAAAAACAAAATCTATAAAAGGTTATTATGTAACAGAAAAAATTGTAATTTTAAAATAGGGCAACTTATAAAATACCAACATTTTCACTTTAAAATTATAAATCATGAAAACTGTCAAAATGGCAACTTATGAATGACCAAAACTGTTATATCAAAATTTCCTTGAAAGGAAAAATATAAATATTAAACTCTTCTATAATTGAAGGCGAGATCTTTATTTTCAAAAAGATTTTACTTCTTGTATATATGCTGGAAAAAATTGTAATGCGATACTGCTTTCTCTCTTTGGTCTGGACATAAAGAATCCTAATGAACATTAACTTACACTAACAAAACCATATTTGCAAATTAATATATATGAAATTTCCATATTTGAATGAATTTTTAATGAGAAGAAATATTTTAATTAATGTTAGAAATCATTATATTACATACATGGATATGAACATAATATCCTTGGAAAAGTTATTTATTCAATAAGTTCTGAATATTGCCAAGACTACAGGAAAAATGTTATTCTTTTTGTTTTCAATATTTACATTCAAAAAATGTCAAATCTTATCATCTTCATATATAAGAATGAAAAGGGTAATGTAAATTTAGTGCTCTAAAAACAATTGGAAGTGACTAACGAGTTTGTTTAGTAGTATGAGATGGGTCCAATTACTTTCAAAATCAAACATATAACTAAAATATTGGCCGAACTACTCCGAATTAAAAATCAAAAAAAAAATGAACCTGACGTGAATCGAACACGCAACCTTCTGATCTGGAGTCAGACGCGCTACCATTGCGCCACAGATCCTATTATGGGATCCTCGTATTATTTTAAGTTAAATCAATTGGAGTTGTGAACCATGTTGTGACTGTTTCAGGTTAAATTGGGTACCATTTATATGGTATTATGTTCATTCTTCACGTTGGGACATACCTACATTTTTTTAATAAAATAATTAATAGTTATTGATGTATTACATGATTATAAAAACTATATTGTTAGAATAACAAAATCTTAAAGTTTTGAATATTAGAAAACAATAGTAGGTTATAAGTATTTAAATACACATTTGGGTTCTTGACAATCCATTTGACTTCTTACACTCAAAGCTATCTTTATAAATTTACCTCATTTTAGATAATACGACTCAAATAAATCCATTTATAAAAAAAAATAAAAAATAAAAAAATTGTTATCTTTACCATGAAAATTTGTCTAAGTATTAGTATTGTTAATATGATAAATTGAAAGTTATATGGATACAAAAGGGAGAAGTGGAAGAAGGAGAATATCAGATATCAGATTATTGCTTTTGTTACTGATAGGCGTGAGTTCTTGACTCGGTGTGGTAGGTTTTGAGTTTAACCTGTCGGAAGGTCAAGACCGAGCATCAAAGACCACACAGTAAAGGTACCTGTATGAAAATAGGAGCAGATCACCATGAATTTTATCACCAAGTTACCAAGGACGGCCAAGGGACTTGACGTTATTTAGGTTATTATTGATCGTTTGACCAAAAGTACCCATTTCCTCACTATTTGGGAGAGCTCCTCGGTTGAGAAATTGATCGACATCTGTATTTGAGAGGTTGTGGCTCGTCACGGGGTGCTTATTTCAACAGTCTCAAATTGAGATGCTCGGTTTACTTACATGTTTTGGAAGAGGTTCCATGAGGATTTGGGTACCAGACTGCATTTCAGTACTGTATATCATTCGCAGACAGATGGCCAAAGTGAGAGGACTATTTAGATTCTCGAGGATATGATGAGAGCTTTCATCATTGATTTTGGTGGGAGTTGAGACTCCTACCTTCCTTTGGTGGAGTTTTCCTATAACAACATCCATCATTCCAGGATTGGTATGCCTCCGTATGAGCTTCCCTACAGGAGAAATCGATTGTGATGATTGGTTCGAGGTTTGGAGGGCCTTGCTCAAGGTAGTGTCAGTTGAGTCGCGAGACTCAAAGAGGAAGCAATTGTGATGATCGGTTTGAGTATTGAAGCCAAGGCTGAGTGATTGGTAGACGGATTGGGATGCCACTATCATTAACATGGGTTGTGTACTTCCAGCTTTCCGCGTTCAGAGGAAAGAGAGAGTAGACATGTGATTTTCATAGTTGGGATGTAGTCCCGACATGAGTCTAGAAGATTGTGGTTTTCTTTTTTGATAGGTATGGCAATGTAGGAATACACAAAAGGATTTGATTCATCAGGTTCGCAACGTACGTCAAACAACAAATAGGCACATAGCCGACAAAAGAGTTACACAGATAGACGTCGGTCAGACTTGGAGTTCCAGGTTGGGTACATGGTGCTCCTGAAAGTGTCACCTTAGAAAGGTGTCATTTGATTCAGGAAGCGTAGCAAGTTGGGCCCCGTGTATATTGGTCATTTTAGGTATTATCCCGGGTGGGTAGGGTTGTGTATCGTTTGGATCTGTCATCGAAGCTCTATCAGATCCATAACATTTTTCATGTCTCTCAGTTGTGAAAACGTTTGGTTGATGATTCCACAGTGGTTCCATTGAAGGACATTCAAGTGGATGACCACCTGAATTATATAGAGAGACCAATGGTGATCCTTGACAGGAGGACGAAGACCTTGTGAAACAAGGTGGTGGATCTTGTGAAGGTGTAGTGGCAGCACCGAAAGGGTTCAGAGTAGATGTGGGAGCATGAGGACAAGATGAAGGGGCATTACCTAGAGTTATTTGCGGTAGCGGACTTCGAGAAAGAAGTCTAATTCAAGTAGGGGATAATTTTAACACCCGATTCAAGGTATTTTTCATTTTGGACCCTTGATGTGTAATTAGTTTTCAATTTTGGTCCTTAGGGGAACTATTGTAATTTTTAGGAGGAGGGTGCATATGTTGGGCATTCCTCTTAAACGTTGCGCATACGCAATCAGGGGACAAACCCTAATATTAGGGTTTGAACCCTATTTAAGCAACCTAATGTCCTAAGGTTCTCTCATTTCCTAGCCTTTATTGCCCTTTTGAGTCCCATTTCGAAACCCTAGCTCATTTCAAGAGAGAGTTGACATTTGTGTGTGTGTTATTTTGTGTATTTGAAGTAACTTCAAGAAGATGAAGCTTGGAAAATGAGCCTTAATCAAGGAGGAGCTTGTAGATCCAGATTCCATTCATCATTTCCAACTTTATTGAGGTATAAAGCTTGGACCTTGCTCATTCTATGCTTAGATCTAGTTGTTATGGAGTTTTGATCACTTTTTGGTCCCATGAACGGGATCTAGTGGAATTTTACCACTCAAGAAGTTATGAGTTGCTCCTCTTGATGTTTATGGGATCCCTAGTCCATAAAGTTAACATCTTTATGGTTAAGGATCACCCATGCGTGAGTTTATGTCCATTTGGTGAAAGTAGGATGCTAAATCTAGGGTTTTATTTCATTGAGCAATGCAAAGTCTCCAAGTTAATGACTTTATGGATTAAGCCGTTCCCCAAGGCTTGGATCTGAAATTTGGACATTTAGTCTTAAGCATTAAGGACTTAATGGATGAAAATAGATGAAGGCAGTATATGTTGGGCATTCGAGTGCGTACGTTGCACATAAACGTTTGGATCCTCGACTTGGTGTAGCCACCTAGTATGTTGGCGTATAGGGGAACACTTAGCATTCGTGACCAGGTGGACTTTTGAATTTTGGGCTGCCTTTGGGTTTTAGGGTGTTGGGACACAATTTGTTCTGATTATGGGCCACTAATAGGGCTTGGGCCTTCTTGGATTTGGGTCCATGTTAGGCTTTAGGTGTTCTTTAGGAATTGGGCCATTATTTGGGCTTTTGTGCCATTGAGTGTGGGCCTTGGCTTTTGGCCTAATTGAGGGAAAGGTAAAAGGGTCTTTTACTATGGGGTTCGAGATTAGTTGATTTGAGTCCCGCTTATGGTTTATGACCCAATTATTAATTAGGGCTTTATTTGGTTGGTTAGTACATGGATTCTCCGGTTCAGCAACCCAAGCATTTATTTGTTTAATTGACAACAGACTGAAGTGAGTTTGCTCACTATACTGTAGGACACTAGGGATTGCATGTGCTTGTAGTGTTTGCGACTGCTTCGGTATGTGTTGTATGCACGTGTGCATGTTTGTTATATGTATGTGGGGTGAAATAGACCGGGTACAACATTGAGCTGACATATGAGTTGAAATATACTTAGGGGTGAAATAGACCTAGGGGTGAAATAGCCCCAGTACAGCCTTGTGTTGACATATGAGTTGAAATAGTCTCGGGGGTGAAATAGACACAACACAACCTTGAGTTGGCATATATATATGGTATGCAGTATTTTAGAGAACTCATTAAGCTTTGTGCTTACGGTTTCCAGTTTATATTTTAGGTACTTCTTGATCGAAGGGGAAGAGTTCGAGATAATCGCATTGCAGACACCATGACTTTTCACTTATTTGACCCTGATGTATTTTGGATGATTATGGATAGACTATAAAGACTATAAATTCCTTATGGTTTTGATAAACACGTTAGTTGATGTTTATTTAATATAAAAACAAAAAAAATTGGTTATGAGTTTTTAGGATGTTACATTTGGTGCTTTGAAGAAGAAAATTGTGTCTTTGGTCCTTAATCCAGCAAGCAAATCTCATCCTCATCATCTTGATTGTATTCTTGACTCTTGTAAATCCTCAATACTCTACCTTTAGTGTTCAAGCATGCAAGATATAGGCTTTACTCTCTTTTCTCTAAGTTTGGGGTGGTTTGAGTGAATGGATTCCATAAAGTTGGCAACTATATGGATCCTTGAGGTTCCTTTGTGGTCTCTTGTCCCAAGTCTGAAGAGTTATAGAGTGTTGGTTCCTTGAATGGAGTTTTTAACCTCCTTTTCACCATTTTAAATTAACTTGAGCTCAAGACATGCATTGGACATGCATGTCTATAAAGCAATGATTTTTATGATGCATTGGGTGTCGTAAAGCCTTTTGGAAAATCTGAGTGTACAACTTGAAGGATTAAGAGCTTTGCGCTTATTGTTGTGGATTTAATTTTGTTTCAGGTACTTCACATTCATCAACAACTTTTGTGATTTCACATTTTCATGATACTCTAACTTTTAGGATGATTGTATTTGCATACTTATGGTTTTCTTGACTTGGTTTTTACGGAAATAATGTTTTTACCCTATTTAAAAATGAAAATTATTGGAGTTAGACAATCGGGAAACAAAGCTTGGACAATGAGATTGATTATAATCCATCTTTCACGTCCTTAAGATATCTTGTATAACGGAGAAATATTTGATCGCTTATCTTATGACACATAACTGACTGGGTCAGAGTTAGACAACAACTTTTGAGAGCTACAAGTTGCTAATCAATTTTGGAAGTAATACTAGAAACTATAGTTATTAGAATTATCCAAGTGGGAGATTGTTGAATTAGGTGTCTAAGCTCATGATTATAATTAGTATAAACTTGAATTGATAGTACCACAATCCTTTTGGGTTGCCCTCAAAATTAGCAATTAAATAAGATAGCTTTTAGAAAGAGACTGGTTTATTAATTTATTACTTGGTTAATAAATTAATTAGAAATGAAATAAATGATTTGTAAATATATTATGAGAATAATATATTAATTAGAAATAGTAATATTTAATTAAGAATTAATCATAAATTAATTGGAATTAATTTTGGGAATAAATGGATTAATTAAAAGTACAAGGGTTGAAGTATAATTGTTTAATAGTTGAACAAGAGGCATTCTAGAACCATCCTAGAGTCGTGGACATTTTTCTATGGTTCTAGAGGATCTAGAATATCTATAATATCCAGAATTATCCTTGGAGGATAATTAGGAAACCAGATAAATACTAAAAGTAAGATAATGTTATTTTATTGTTTTGTGACTTATCTAGGGTTTCTGGGTACACTATATAAAGACCCCTAAGCCTCATATTTTCGTCCAAGCATTCTTATAGTATCTAGGGCTGAAATTCTGTCTCTCTCCTCTCTCTCTCTCTCTCTCGCTCTCTCTCTCTCTTTCTCTCCAAGCTCCTTGGTCGCTAGTGTTGGGTGTGAATCATTAGAGGCACGGCACTTGTGGTGCTTGCTCTCTAAGCTTCAACAACACTAAGGATTTGAATTGTTATTGCTATATAACAATTAAGGTATGTTTTTCTTAAATTTAATTATCATTTTGAAAATATACTAGTTGGATTAGGGTTTCCTAATTGATGTTCAAATGTGGTATGTTCAACTAGAGAAAACATAGATCTTCAAATTAGGGTTGCATGCACACATAGACTTTTATTTGTTATGCTCAAAACCCATCAGAAACATGTAGTCCAACCTCGAAGAAATAGACATAAAACCCTTCCTTTCCCATCGACGGTCTTATCAACAATAGATAAAAGGGAAGGGATCTCATCACCATCTTCATCCACCAAGTGGTATGTCTCAATGATTTTTTCAAAACGAGTGGGTGAAATAGTAGAATGGATGATGGGCATGGCTAATCGATACATTTTCATCGGAGAAGAAGCAATTTGCAAGAAACTATAAGAAAACGGAACGAAGGAAGAAAGAGGAAGAAGGAGGGATGGGACGGTTATTAAATATGAAGTGAAAGAGCGGGAGACGATGATATGATACATTGACAACATGCATAACTACCTACATCATACGCTTTAAACCAGACGTGTGTATCCCAGATGATGTTTTGTTACCATTCGAGCAAATTAAACTCAATTATTGAAGCCCGATTGCAACTCGTCTTCAATAATTGGTATAGGATGCTTAATGGGGTATGACATCAACCCATCTACACCTACTAGGGTTGGCAAAAGAGGCATTATCCAACCCATGGATTCAAAAAATACACGAGGAAAACTATACAAGCAATATCATTACTGCCTACAAAAGTACCCGATAATATATGCTCGAATAAAATACTCTCTTGGTACAAAAGTAATATCCCAGGAAATCGGGGGAAATTACCCAAAAATATTATTCTATAAAAACAATAGTAACTAACTAATGGATGACAATGTCATTTTCTGAAAATATGAATCAACCAAAATCCCCTTTAAAAATATAAATACCACTCTATATTGAATAAGTTGGTACGCAGCAACAAAAAAAAATACAAAAAGAAATTTTGATAGCGGAAATCACAGGTTGTTAGTAAATCAAAGAATTCAATTTGATTATTCATTCTTACTATTAAGCATTTGAATCATGGATTGTCTTCTTATGACTCATCAATAGATAGATTCGTTTTTTAAAAGAACCGTTCAAGGAAAAGCAACCTCCTCGCCCACTATCGGTTGATCCTCAAGTCTATCCCCCCCCCCCCCCCCCCCCTCTTCTTCTTCCATCAACTAAATAGATTCTTAAATCTTGTTCATGAGATTAAGAAAAAGAATTGTCTTTCTAAATTCTTCTAATTTTTATGTTATGTATAGTAAATTACTAACTTTTGTGATTTCATAAAAAAAATTAAAAAATATAAATAATGTATTTGATTAAATTTGTAATTTTCACTTAAAATTATTATCGCAAATTTTACCTATTTAAATGAAATTTTTCATAATTTCATGAACTTTTAACAAAAAAATATATTTTAAATAATGTGTGAAATCATTTTATTTCGTCCATGGATATATATTAAAAATATATATATCATCTGGGATATATATTAAAAATATATCATTACGAAAATGTGATTATTCCGAATGAAATTTTCTACGAAACCACCAATACCGGTGAAGTAATCAAAACGGCCCGTGATTGAAAAGTTTAAGTGCCGACGACTTGGACCGATTCGTATTTTGAATTAAATTATTGAACAAACTACACGACAAAAATCTATTTTTATTTTCATTTTCAACATTCAATTTCAAAAAATGTCAGATCTTCATATCATCGTCATATAAGAAAAACAAAAATATGAACCTGACGTGAATCGAACACGCAACCTTCTGATCTGGAGTCAGACGCGCTACCATTGCGCCACAGATCCATTTGTGTTATTCTTGTATTTTAATTTAATTTATCATGAATTTGTAGAACGACTTTTGAGATTATACTGAAACTGTTTCAAGACAAATTGATAGCATCTATTTGGTTTTACTGGTCTGTTCAGCGTTCACTTTGAAGCATACCAACATTTTTGGTTTATTTTTTATAGAATAATTATGTATTATAAATGATTACAAAAACTATATTGTTAGAATAACAAAATCTTAAAGTGTCGAATAAAAGATTTAGTATGTTATAAGCATTTAAATACACATTGGGTTTTTGACTTGTTACACTCTTAGCTAAGTTTTTATATTTTACTCATCTGAGAGAAAATATGACTTAAATCCATCCATTAAAAGAAAAAAAAAATAGTAGAAACTGTTACCACTGCCAAGAAAATTTGTCAGTATGAGTATTGTTAAACTGATAAATTGAAAGTTTTCTGGATTCAATCTTGAATGATAGGTTTAAAGAAATAACATAAACAGATTACACGTTATACAAAGATTCCATCAAACAAAATAACAAAAAAGAATCTGTAAATTTACCTGAATGATTCAAATTCCAATCTAAATAAATATAAATCTACCCAAAAAAAAAAAAAAGTAATAATACAGATTACACATAAAATGAAGATTAAGGAAATAAAGGCATGCATTTGAGGCCAGTGTTTTCTGGAATTCCCATCATCAAGTTAAGATTCTGTAAAGCTTGACCAGAAGCTCCCTTTACAAGATTATCAATCTGCAACATAATTTATTTATTTTATATATAAAATCACCACATCAAAAAAAAAAATGAAAGTATAATAAACACATACCACAGATATGATTATTGCTCTTCCAGGGATGCGATCAGGGAAGACATTTATATGACAGGCATTAGAACCTTGAACATATTTGGTGTGTGGAGCTTGATTATCAGGCAACACAGCTACAAATTCTTCATTCTACAAAATAATAAAAAATAAATTACTTTTAGTAAAATTAAGCGGTATAATAGTTTTGCAGAGGCTCCTTGCGGACACTGCTAGCAGACTATTGTGTATTTGATTTACATCTGACAGTGTTGTGGGCCCGCTTAGAGGTTGTTGGAAGAATAACCAGTGTAAATTAAAAATAAAAAAAAATTACCTCATAGAAGCGCGACAACTGTTGTTTCAGATCTTCAACTGAAACTCCAGGAGCCATTTGTATGTTTATAGTTGATTGCATGCCTCGGCTCTAGAATTTGATGGAAAATTAGGTGTTTGATTTAACAATTTTGATTAAATAGAATAAAAAAATAAGATAAGATTAGCCAATTTTATATATAATTTAATGAAGAAGCGAGAGTAATAATTACCATTGGCATTAAAGTAGGAGTAAAGCTGATGGTCACATTTGAATTTGCAGCATTCGATAGCTCTTGTTCAATTTCAGGCACTAAAATTAAACCACAAGTATAAAACATATTAAAATACGATAAGACAGGATAGAACAGGTTGTACTGTGTTTTGCATGCATTGGACTGTGGTTGACGTGATTGGGACAATAATTATGCAAAAAGACATGAATGCCCTCCATCATTGAAAATAGCCCTACCATGACGATGCCTTGTGATGCCATAAGAGAATATTCCTTCTGATATTTCTGTGTATAAATTTGCCTCTTTTGCACTACGTCCTGCAAGGCTCACCAAACATTTACATAAATACTCTACAAACAACTTAATAGAGAAATATTCCTTTCAGATATTTTTCTACATATGGGTGATTCTTTTTCCCTTGATACATAAAGAACGACTTAATAGATGAAGTCATAGAAATAAAGATTAAGATTTCACAATACATTAAGCCAGGTTTTTGGTTTAACCTATTAAGTCATTCTGTCTAGATTTAAGTCAAAAAGAAACAACCATATATAGTTGTCATGATTACGTGCTTAACCCATAAAGCTCATTAAGTAAAAAAGAAACAGTCATATAAGTAACCTGCTCCACTAACTCCAGAATTTGAGACAATAACAATATTATCCAATGCAATAAGACTAGAATTCATCAAAGGAACAAGAGGGAGCAAAACAGTAGTAGGATAACATCCAGGATTTGCAACAAGACGTGCATTTTGAATCTTCTTTCTATATATCTCACTCAAACCATAAACAGCTTCTTTCTGCAAACATATCAACAAAAAGACTCTATAACAAAAGGAAACTTCTTTTTTTAAGAAATTGATTGATTTAGTAGTTAAGAGTTTAGGTATACAAATATAATGAAGAACTTAGACCTGCAATTCTGTTGCTTTATGAGGCTGACCATACCATTCTCCATAGTCATTAATATCTCTTAATCGAAAATCCTGCAAAGATTGCTTGTTACATGTTTTGTTGAATACTCAAAATGCTGAAAAAAATTAAGAAAAAACTAGAAGTTTATAGAATGTACAGCAGAAAGATCAACAATCTTTAAGTTGGATGGAAGGCCTTTGATGATTTCCTGCAATATAATTATTTATAAAATATCATAAATAAAAAAAAGGTGATCAATGATGGAATTGATAAAAGGGTATTGTAGAATTGAAGACAACCTGAGTGGTGCCATGTGGCAAACAACAAAATACAGCATCTACAGTTGAAAAGTCTGCATCTTTTACAGCAACCAAATCAGGTAAATCCTGCAAAATATAGAAGCAACAATGCAAGATAAATGAAGCTTATTTGAACTACATGGTAAATGAATTTGAACAATTGAATACCTGTGTGATTAGATGTGGAAATACTGATCCGATTGATTGACCAGCTTTTCTATCAGCAGTCATTAGAGAAATGTCAAAGTAAGGATGGTTTGCAAGGAATCTTATAAGCTGTAAAAAAGGGTGGATTTTTTAGTTAAATTATGAAAAATGATGAGAAGATGTGTAAAAGAATGATTTACCTCTACACCAGTGTAACCACTAGCTCCAAGAATACCAACTTTAATAGACTTATCTGATTTCTGAGCAGCTGATACCACTGAAAACCTCGTGGGCATTTTCCTGATTTTTAGCGATTTGGATTCTTCCTATAATTCAATTCAAATTAGTATTTGTAGTTCCTTTCACTAAGGGTTTGACCAGTATTGATACGAACCTGGAACCTTGAAAAGCACCCTCCATCCATGAAAATTGAACGCAGAGCAGCCATGGAACTCATTTTCTACTCAAATAGCACTACAATATGGCAACAAAAAGATGAACTGAAGCTGAACAGTTAATAACAACAAACAGATTATCGGAATCATGCACAAACGTTTTAAATTTGCCTGATTTACTAAAATGTGGGTCGATTATGGAAAGAAAATTGGTTAATGATTATTATATCCTAAACAGAAAGCATAACCGAGAATACCCATCCTCCTACTCCGTCTATCTGATGAGAATGTTGAAGCAATCGGAAAAAATGAGTAATTAAGAACAATGTAATGTGTATTTGGACATACCTTTGGGAATTACAGTATACCTGATACTGAAATTGATCTTGTTTTTGCCGGATTTCGAAGAGCAGCTTCCAACTTCAGTTGAGTATGCGAGACACGATAGAATGGTGGACCAAAAGGAGGCGGAGGAAGGGTTTATTAATTAATTCCAATTAACTGTTATGAACCCCCAAAGGGTTTATTAAGTTTATTTCTTGGGTTAAATACAGAAAAAGACACATCTTTTCGGATTCGAACTTTTTTTTTTTTTCTAAAACTTTATAGTTTCTCTATTTTTATTTTTTTAGTTTGACCGTTTTAACATTTTTTTGTCGTAAAAATTTTATAAAATGTTAGAGAATCTTTAATAAAATAAAAAGTTAAGTGTTATATATATATATATATATATATATATATATATATATATATATATATATATATATATATATATATGCAAAAAAAATCTTCGTAAACTATCCTTTAATTTATTTATTTATTTATTTAATTTTTACAATTTAACCATCGAAACCGGTTAACATTTCTAAAATAACTAAAATACTCGATTAGTATCAGTTTAACTGAAAAAAAAAAAAAAAAAAAAAAAAAAAAAAAAAACCATGGATGATTTTTTCGTTAACAATATTAAAGTTTTCTAAAGATATTCTTTTTTATGTATATTAAATTTATTTGAAGAAAACTTATATTATTTATTAAAAACATAAAATACAGATATCATCTACATCTCTTTTATTAAAAAAACTTATGTTTTTTTATTAAAAAAACACAATAATGATAATTTATATATGATTTTAGGATTTTTTTTTTGTGATTCTCTTTAATAAATATCATTACTATAATCATAAAGATATTATCTATATACAATTCCTAAATAGAACCCCATAATATATTTGGCCTAGAACTCATTCTTTGTGACAAATCAACAAAAATCTTATTAATTGTATTTAATATATGTTTTTATAACTATTGTAGCTCCTATATTAGGATTATTGTCATAAAATTCTCATATTTACATGAAATGTGTCGTTATTTCCTAAGTATCGATTTTTTAATAATTATTTTTGCAAATAAGCATAGGACCTTCCATGCTCGACATGTGCATGTGGTCTAATGCTTCCCCTTCTTCCCCGAAGACAAAGGTTGAAGTGATGATTCGTGGATTTACGTTTTTGGTTGGAACTGAAATATAAAATTTCTCAGAAAAAACACATTAGATATGAGTGAAATGTGGACATCTTCATAAATTTATACAAGATTGTATTCTTAAAAAAAAAAAAGGCGCAGATCTTAAATGAAAAAGATAAAGGTGGCAAGGGGAATCAATTTGCCCTAACAATTAATTATAAACCATAAAGTTGGATTGCCTCTACAATATTTTTAAAATGGTTCTTTTCTGTTATTTTTAATAATGGGTTTTCTCTACATATTTTTTTATGTTCAAAATAAAAATAAAAAAAATACTAGTAATTAATTTGCATCTCATATAAATTGCATCAACATATAACTTATATAAAATGTGTAGCAGTAGTAAGTTGACAAAAATTGTGCTTTTGGTTTTACACACGTGCTATAACTATACAAATTTGTGCTTATGGTTTTAAAAACTATACAACAACAATTTCAAGAAATCTTGAAATGTTAAAACTTTTAAAGTAATGAAACCATCTTTTTCACCGATCTAAAGTAGTAAGAAACGGACTTCTGAATGTTCTTCTACTGTTGATAGGTCTGTTTTCCTCAACCGTTTGTGGCATCATTTCAGCCAACCGTATTCTTTCGTTACTGATCCTATTCTGTTAAGAAAACATTCAAATACATATGACTATTTTCTTTTCTTTTGACTTAATGTAGATAGAATAAACGATTTAATAGAAAAAATATGTGTATATCTTTAATACCTTATGTTGTAGATCTTGTAATTCTCTTTCGAGGGTGGCCACACGTCCCTGCAACTGTTCTAATGCTTCTTCCGCCATGGAAATGCTGACATCAGATGTCGGCCTTGTTATGCCAGCTACCTGTTTTGCACAAACCAGTTGTATTGTGTTTAGTGCAAAAGACATAAGTGCCCTCATGAACAAAAGACTTCCAAAAAAGCATGGATGTTTTTATATAATAATAATAATAATAATAAAACTCGACAGTTGACACAAACCTTTAAAATGCTGGTGCACAAGGCTGCCAACTTCTGTGCTAATAGATCCCTCTCTTCTTCTGTTCCCTGTGAATAAAGTAGATAACAAAATATAAAGTCAAATCTTTCATAGCATGGTCAACCTTTTTTTTCATTAAGTTTTGTCTGGATGTTTACAAAAAATCTTTGAATAAACAAAATATTAGAGTAAATTACATTTTTGGTCCTTGAAGAAAACTGATTTTTCAGATTTGTTCTTATCAAATTTTGGTTCTTATTTGAGGTTTTTTATCACTGTTGCAAGTAAAATGACTATATTTTGTGACCAAATTTGCAAAAATCAGCTTTACTGAGGGACCAGAATTGCAAAAATCACCTTAAGTTTTTCATGAATTTGTAGCTCAGTTTCCACATCAGAAAAGTCGTTCCCACTTTTTGCACGTAAATTAGCAAGTTCTTCCTTAACACGACAAAGTATTTCATCTGATCTTCTCAGCTTACGAATTAATTCATCATTATGATTTTTTAAACTATTATTCTCCTCCTGTTATATAAAAAATAATCATCTTTAACAACATTTTGTCCAACCAATATAATGATTTGGATTATTATTATTAAAATTATATCTTGCCTTTATTTTCATATGGTGATGAATTCTTTGTTGAATATTTTGCTGGCCTGATAATTTCTTGACTTCAGCTTCAAGCTCAAGGACTTTCATCTTGTGATTAGCAATTTCCGTCTATAAAACACAAAGGCAAGTTAACAAAATAATTTAAAAAAAATAATAAAGTGCAAAAAGGTTATTTAGGATTTTAAACCTTGAACATTTCATTTTCGGTTTTGAGTAAACGATCTCTTTGACGAAGTTGTTCTAATGCAACTTGTGCTGTGATCAATTCAGATTGTTTTCTTTCTATTTCCTCCAGCCACCTAATAAATAATATTATTAAAAAACATAATAATAAGTATAATAAGAATTTCATACCAAACACTAGTTCAAGTCTAAAATTAAAACTTGGATGTTTATTTGTTTACCCCTTTCGCTCCATAACTAACTCATTCAGTTGCTCCTTTAACTTAATAACCTCCTCTTCCTGCAAAAAGAAACATACATCATTTTTATATATATAGTATTATTATATAATAACATTTTGTTGGGTCCCACAAGATGAAATTGTTTACATTACCTGAAAATGTACTTCAGTATTATTATGAATTCGAGCATTTTCGGTTATTTCCTCAATTTGGTTGCCATCAATCAACGACTGCAATTAAAACAAACACATTGATTATTAAAGATTAAAAAAAAAAAAAATCAACCTACAAACTTCTAAAAATACATTAAAATCACTAAAAGAAACTAAGTTTATAATAGCTTTTTACCGAATAAGTTGTCATATCCATCTTTATGCCCAACAAATCACGCAACACATCATGAGTCATGCTCCCTGACATAGCTAACTTTGCATTCAATGCAAATATCTGAAAATAAAAATTCATGTAAGACATGATACTCTTTCAGAAAAAGATAAAGATTAGAAATTTATGCCTCTTTTTGGCGACTTGCAGCCAATGCTTCAAGCTCTTCAATTCGCTTTCTTGCAGTAGTAAGCTCTTCATCTCTCTCAGACTTCATTTGTTGTGCTAATCCTATTCCTATGCATTTAAAAGGGGAACCAGATCCTCTTGTTCTTGATCCATTCTTTTCTAGTTTCTTTGATGGTGAATTTGAGATGTGGGAAACAGAAACATCTGATTTGACTTGCTCAGAAACAGCCATTGCCTCCAATGCTTTAAACTGTTTTTTGAAGTTAACATTGTAAAAAAATATATACATATATATCAAGAACTTAATAAAAAAAAAAGAAAAATCTAACTATTGTTTACCGTTTGTTTGTACTCTCTAGCTTGAGCTTCAGCATGCAGATTAAGCTCGGAAATGTGGGCTTTATGTTGGCCAATCTGAGAAAAAAATTAAAAAAGAATAAAAATACAGGTTAAATTAGTTATAACTTACATATGGGTTTAATCAGATAGAATAAAAAAGAGAAGAACTTGCACCTCTTTATCCTTGTTTGCAATCTCTTTTTCAAGAAGTTCAACCCGCTGAAGGGACTCTTGAAGACTTTTCTCTTTTTCATTCAAAGCTCTGTAGAAAAAAAGAGTCATGTGTCAACAAAAATGCACAATTATTTCAACGTTTCTTTGATGAGTTATGGTTATCAAACCTTTTTATGTCTGAATCACTAGTTTTGACTTGGTTGATTTGTTGTTTAAAAGCATGAAACTCTAGTTCTAGCTCTTCCCTTTGCAATCGTTGCCTTTCTGCATCTCCTTTGACCATGTCAACCTTAAATATACAACAAAAAAGTAAGTTTTATCTAAATTTTTACAATAAAATGCTAACTTCCAATAAATAAATAAAAAGCAAACCTGGTTTTCAAGGACAGTCACCATACAATCCAGCTCTTCAACAGATTTCTCATATAATTTCACCTCCTCTTCTTTCTCTTCAGCATACAGTCTACTTGTTTCAGCAATCTATATTCAAAAAAAGAATTAAAAACGTTGTAGAAACAAGAT